AAATATTTTAACAATTGAGGAAGTTGAGGAAGATATAAAGCATTAAACATAAATTATTATAGTGTCCGAATATTAAAGTGAGTAACTGTATGTATTTTCACGGTAAAACACCACCACATCACAAAAGACTTCAATATTATTTTTAAATAATTATTTTAAATAATTATTTTTAAATAATAATAACACAGCTACTCTTTGTCTTAGACGGAACATCTTAGGTCGAAGATTATCTGAAGGTGATAGTCAGTTATGAATGGGTTTTTATCACATCCGTCAACTGTTCTACCACCAATTAATCGGATTTTCCGCCACTTCTACAGTTTGCAACATTGCAAATTGAGAAATCCGACAGTTTCCCCCAACATGTACATCCTCGAAGTTCTTCAGAGCCTTCGTGGTAACTGATTTCACGAAGACTAAACAGAACTAAAAAATTTGTCGAAGTAAACATATCTCAAACATACAGTACGTATCTGTTTGTAGCCAGTGTTTGTCACTACAGCTATAACCCATCTAGTTTACAAACCGTTGACCGTTGGAGTGTGGTGTAGCAATAATTTTCGGCAATAATTTGACTTGTGATTTATAAAGCAGAATTTCACTCAAATACACAAGTTTATTTCCTGACAACACAAAATGTAAGTAACGTTTAATACTCGATCTACGTACAGAATAAATATTATTAGCTTGCTGGAAATAGAACAGCCGATTTAAAAATATCAAAAGTCTGACGCAATTTGATAATATCACAAAATAATTTTTGGAAGACATCAATTTGAAGTTTAATGAAATGCTGAAAGTACTATGCAAACTTTCCATAAACATTTTTAATTGAAATTAACTAATTGCTAAAATGATCATCTTATCGATTACTTTATACAATATAATGTTCAATAAAATGATTATTTAGCAATCAATACTTTAAATATATTTTAACCAGTTAACTGTGATTGACGAGTATACTCGTCGTGCGTATAAAGTAGTGACCATTGGCTATTTAAATTGTAATTTTTGAGAAAAGCAAAACATATTCTTAAATTTCAAGATGTTTAGAATATTTTGAGACCATGCCAGAATAAAACAAACAAATAAAAAATATAAATAATTTGAGATGAACTCATGCGCCCCATATGTACCGGCTGAAACAGCTTACCAGTTCGCACAACGAATTTATTTATGTGCGACAACAACGTTTTTTAGATGTTAGCGTGAAAGGAAAGCAAAAGCAAAAGTCGGAAAGCTGATTTATGATAGGGTCCCTTCAGGGATGGTCTATCATATGCATTTCATTTTTATTGCGTTTTTCATCTAATAAGTATGTAATATATGTTTAAGTTAACCAAATAAATATACATTAGTAATAAAAGTGTCAATTGTATAAAATAAACCCATCTTTTTGGTCCAATATCTTACCAGCGCAACTTACTCTGTGATTGACGAGTATACTCGTCATGGCTCGATTTCGGCGCCACAATTAACTGGTTAAATAGGTATAATATAAGTGTTATTTTACGATACTTTTATAACATTAAATTGTGGTAGATTTTCGACGTTTCAATATCCTCCGCTATACGTTCTACAATGTAGCAATATGATACACGGAAAGACAGATTTTAACAACTAATTAGTTTAACAACAAAGTACTAATAAATAGATAACATAATAGATTTCGTCAAATTCGTGTTCATTTAAGTTTCAAATATACGTAATATAAGTGATATACATACTTTTATGTTATAAATTTGAATCAGATTCTGTTGTTCGAAATCGGTCACTGTTTCCTTTAACTGAAAACCAACCATTTTATATTAAGAATGTTCGTGAAAAACTCACTTTCGTTTGTCATAAGTGCTATTGTACAGTACTGTTATATCGCTAAATAGTACCTGACCTGTTTTCGAAATCGTCAATTTCAATTGCAATCTAGTATTTCTATAAATTAATAGCGTCACTCGCCCCAATAGTCCCCACTGTATCCAATGTATTCAATATTTGCTTAAATTTTAAAATGAAACAAGAATTTTATCATTATTTGTTTTGCAACATCGTGATTTTATTGACATTTAAATGAAACATTCAATGTTCACGTTTCCGGCAATATCTTTATACTATACTAGCCGTCTAACCAGGAAAAGCCATTGTTATGATACTTTCGACAGTTATCGTTTACTTACTTATTAGTCGATTATCTGAATCTTTCTTAGCATTTCATTTTCAACAAATAAATTATATGATTTCAGTTTTATGAATTAAATCCATGAATTTAGAGAACATATATGCATATTTTGGCGTATTGAATACATGACTAGTACTCTTTTTAACTGATTAAAAAGACTAAAAAAACATTAACTGGTTAAAAGTAATACTTTCATTTTTGGGAGAAGTGATTCAATAATACTGACTGCATTTTCCTATTGTTATTGTATGTACTTTCAAGTATTTAATACAATTATTTATCATTGCATAAGTAAAAACGTTTTTCGTGCATATACAGGGTGTTCGGCTACTGGTGGGCATAATTTCAGGGGGTGGTAGCTGGGGTGATTCTGAACAACTTTTTCCTTTACCAAAATGCTGGTTAAAGCTTAGTTTTTGAATTATTAATGAAAAACACTGACCAATCAGAGCGCGAGAATAGCGCGCGCTCAGATGCGAGAGCGACGGATGCAAGCGTGACGGTTGACCCTGGTCGTGAACAAACAAATCGCGCGATATCGGTAACATAGTTACCATCATCGGTAATATGTCAGCCGGTAAGTAGTTATAAAATTCACAACTATTAATAAGTATAAATTTATTAACGAAACTAATTGTATGGATTAAGCGAAAATAAAGGTAAAGATAAAGCGCAGTTT